AAGAAAGAAAGAAAGAAAGAAAGAAAGAAAGAAAGAAAGAAAGAAAGGAAGAAAGAAATTCTTCAGAGTCCATTATGTGAATACATATAAGAAAGTTCACACATACAGAATCCCACGGTCACTTTTCTTAACATCAAATTTCTATTATGAAAGAAGTATCAGTTTTGTAAAAATGTAAAATATGCCAAGAATACCTTAACAGATGCAACAAACTGAAAGAGAAATCCTGGTGTAGAAATAGGTGGTGTTCATTATTTAATATGTGTGCTAAGTGTCCTTCAAGTTTCTATCTGCACCTTTCATAGTTTTAAGAATGATTTATTTTTGTTGTTTGTGTTTGAGTGGTTTTTCTTGCATATATGCATGTATATGCATTGTGTGTGCCTGCTACATGAGGAGGCCAGCAAAGGGCTCTGCATGCTCTGGAGTTAGCAGTAGTAGGTGCTGCGTCCCAGACCTTGGTCCTCTGCAAGATAAGTAGGTATTCTTAACCATTGACCCATCCCTCTAGCCCCATGTCCCCTCATTCTTATACAACCTTTTAAAACACTTAGCATACAAAAGGCTATGGGCTCGACTACACAAAAGTTTTAAGGGATTATATTTTTCAGCTATTTTTATCTTGCATCCACTCAGACAACTCTATATTTCTTGCTTAGAACCGGGGGAAAAAATCCTTTCATAGTTACTGAATTTTTAACCATAAAATAAGAACAGATCCCTCTCCCTAACTCATTCCAATGTTCAAGATAAGCCAGCTCAACATCTCAAGCTTTGAACTGTTCTAGTTAAAACATTTTCTTCTTTTCACTGTGTGGTATACATGCAAACTATACAATACCCATGTGTAAACATACATCTACACATGCATACATACCACTTACAGAGAAAAGAAAATAATGCGTACATGTATGCTTACATACGGGTATTCTATGACTGCATGTGTGTAGACATGGACTATCTGTAGAGGGCTGAAGCTGACTCTGGTATCTCCCTCAATTGCATTCCACTTTATTTACTGAGGCAGGTATTTCACTGAACCTAGAGCTTGCCAATTCCTGCTAGTTTTTCTAGTCAGCTTGTCTATGGGAGCTTTTTTTTTTTTACAAATATTTCTTCATAGAATGCCGTTGTTTTAGTCTAGGAATTTCTGTGAAGCCAGGAATGAAGAACATACTAGAAAGAGGAGGGGAATTCCTAAGCCATGTCAGGTGGATCTTAAGAATATGGTGACGTAATGTTCTGTCTGCATGCTGTAACCAACTGAGGTTACACTGGGTTCATTTGTCTCGGGGCTAAAGAACACTTCCTCATTGCACAGCGCTGTGCAATCTCCAAACAGCGCTCATTGGTCTGTCTTTGATGTTTTCTTACTACTCTATTCCAAAATATTGAGGTCTTATCTATGCTTGTGAGGAGAGGTAACCACTGGAAAAATTGCTGCAGAAGAAAATGTGGGTTCTCCTTCATCTGGACTGTGAACAACATCTCGAGCTTTAAAACTGTATGTGTGGGATATAGGGCAAAATCATTTGGTTGCCACTAAGCCTGTACACGTGTCACTTAAAACAGAGCCCCATGAGTCAAACAAATGAAGACATTCATCACATGGGTGCCTACTCAGACTTCTCTCCTTAGCTCTAGAAATGACCCTTTGGTTGAGCTTTGTCATTACACAAGTCACCCAGTGTTGGGAGGACCCTGCTGTTTGAGGTTGCAGTCCTCCCAGTCCAGAGAGCCATTCTGAGCTTGGCACTAGATGGAGGACTCCCTCTCCCCAGCAGGGCCTCCTACCTCTCTGCCTGACATCATCTGGAGAGTGTCTTTAGGCACAGATGCCCCTAACCATGCCTGGTGTAAGGCCATTCACACAGTTTCTTGCTAGCGTTCACCTCCTTGCGCCTAAAAGATAATTAAGTACTATGTTCCCATTCATCTGATAGGATCCTGCTGTC